TATAAATATATACATATGATACACAATAATTATTAATTTTTAATAATCATATATAAAACACACAAATAACATTTATTTAATAATAGTAATACGCATTTAGACAATAACATTTAAGCATTTAACACAAATATTAATATTATAATAATAATAATAATAATAATATAATAATAATAATAATAAAAAAAATAATAATAATAATAACATCAATAATCAATTAGACAATTAGACATTAAATATAAATAATAATTAATCTCAAATAATCTATAATCAAACGGGGTATTACAGCGGTGGAGCATGAGAAAACATATTTGACATTGATGGCAATGAGGCAGGGGGAGAAGAAGTCATTGAGGAAGTACGTCGCTCGATATAACCAGACGCGTTTGGAAGTGCATTCGGCTTCGGATGAGGTGAAGGCGGGAGGATTGATAAGGAGTCTTCGAGCAGGGCCTTGCCGAACTTCCCTGGCAAAGACCCCTGGTCGATCATATGAGGAGGTCTTGAAGCGGTGCAGGAAGTATATTAATTTAGAAGAAATGGAGGTAGAATTCGCGAAGTTGGAAGGGCCGGCTCGACCAGAGCCAAAGAAGGAGCAAAGCCCACCGAGAGGGAGGTCGCCGAGGAGGAGTTCGCCCAAAAGAAGTGGGTCAAAAAAGATATCACCCAGGAGGGAAGGTCGAGATTCGAAGCGAGAGAAGAGGGATGACAAGTGGCAGAGAAGACCGTTGTTGTTCGAGAGACAGAGGTATCATAATTTTACACCCTTGAGAAAGGATTTGACGGAGGTGCTCGAGGCTATGGAGCAGAAGATGTCGACCGAGGATGTAACGTGGCCGAAGACAAGGTTCATAGGCCCGACTCGTCCCAGATCGGATATATATTGTCGATTTCATCGAGATTACGGCCATACCACGAAGAACTGCAGGCATTTGAAGGATGAGATTGAAAGGTTGATTCGAGCAGGACATTTGAAGGAGTTCGTGTATCATGATAGGGCGAAAGGGAAAGGAAGGAGAAGGTATCGGGATGATTCGGAGGAGAGAAGTGACAGGGACAAGGAAGGAGGCGATGGAGATGGTCGAGATGGTCGAGGAAAGAAACCGAGGAGAGATGGTGATAAAGGAGGGCACGGAGGAGAAGCCCTGATGAAGAGAGGGACAATTTACATGATTTCCGGAGGGCGAATGGATGGCCACTCGAATAGGGCCAGGAAGGAGCATGCTCGAGCTGTGAAGAGGAAGAGAGAAGAGGTGAGGATTACGGCTCGTATGCTGGTGATAAGTTTTAAGGCGGAGGATGCTGAAGGAGTGGTCTTACCTCACAACGATGCATTAGTGATAACCGCGGAGGTTGCAGGCTTTGACGTGAAGAGGGTGTTTATTGATACCGGGAGTTCAGTAGACGTGATGTTCTACGACTGTTTTGTGCAAATTAACAAGGAGTTGAATATGGAGCTGAAGTCGGTGACCACGCGCTTTATGTTTTTAACGGAGGAGAGGTGATGCCGATGGGAAAAGTAAGCTTGCCAGTGGCATTGGGAGCAGGAGAGCTAAGGAAGGTGCGCATGGTGAGGTTTGTGGTCGTGGGAGCTGAATCATCTTATAACATCATCATGGGGCGGACGAGCTTGAATGCGTTCCAGGCGGTCGTATCCACGTACCACATGACGATCAAGTATCCTGTGGGCGAAAACGTAGGGGAGATTGCCAGGGACCAACTCACTTCGAGGAGCTGCTATCAAACAACAGTGAGCAATAACAAGCAATTGGCGAGAAGGCAGGCCAAGTCAAAGGATGAGGAGATTAATCGACCAGGTGGGTTGAGGTCGAAAGAGGATAAACAGAGAATGGAGAAGGGTAAGGAGAAGATGGATATTCAGCCGGGGGGAGAAGTGGAGGAGATTCATATGATCGAGGGGTGTGAGGAGAGGAAGTTCAGAATTGGAAAAGACTTGGAGGAGCCTATTCGGTCGAGGCTTATCGATCTGGTAAGGGAGTTCGCTGACATTTTTGCCTATACATCGGAGGAGTTGACGGGGATAAGTGCGGAAGTGATCGAGCACCGGCTGAACATCGACCTCAGTGTGAGGCTGGTGAAAAAGAAAAAAAGACACCATGGGGCGGAGATGGACAAAATCATTGAGAAGGAGGTCGAGAAGCTATTGGGAACAGGGCATATCAAGGAGATCCAGTTCCCCGAATGGTTGTCGAATACGGTGATGGTGTCGAAGGCGGAAGGAAAATGGAGAATGTGCATCGATTTCCGTGATCTGAACAAAGCATGCCCAAAGGACTTATACACACTGCCCAGAATCGACCAGTTGGTCGACTCAACGGCGGGGTGCGAATTGCTGAGCGTGATGGATTCCTCCTAGGGATATCATCAGATCCCTTTGGCGAGAGAAGACAGGAAGCGGGTGAGTTTTGTAACGAGTCGAGGAACCTATTGTTACGTAGTCATGCCGTTCGGCCTAAAGAATGCAGGCGCCACGTATCAAAGGTTGGTCGATAAAATTTTTAAGGAGCAGCTGGGGAGGAACATGGAGGTGTATGTGGATGATATGTTGGTGAAGAGCAAGGAGGAGTTGGATCATGTGCGAGACTTGAAAGAGAAGTTCTCAACTTTGCGGAGGTATGGGATGAAATTGAATCCAGCTAAGTGCTCTTTCGGGGTGAGGTCGGGAAAATTCTTGGGTTACTTGGTGACCAAGAGAGGTATTGAAGTGAATCCTGAGAAGGTTCGGGCCGTAATGGAGATGAAGCCGCCGACGAATGTTAAGGAGGTGCAGATCTTAGCTGGTCGAATTGCGGGGCTGAGTCGTTTCATATCGAAGGTGGCGGAGAAAAGTGGCCCATTATTCAAAACACTAAAGAAAAGCTCAAAATTACAATGGACGGAGGAGGTGCAGAGGGCATTCGAGGAGTTGCGAGGGGTGTTGGCCAACCTTCCCTTGTTGGCTAAACCCGTACAGGGCGAGGAATTGATGCTATAAATTTCTATTGGAGAGAGGGCTGTGAGTTCGGTGTTATTGCGGGAGGAAAGGGTAGCGCAATTTCCTATTTAATACGTGAGCAGGGTGATGCAGAAGGCAGAGATGAGGTATTCGGAGATCGAGAAGTGTGCTTTGGTTGTGGTCGTAACTGCTCGAAAGTTGAGACCTTATTTCTTGAATCATAAGGTGAAGGTGCGAACGAACATGCCGCTGGGAGAAACACTTGGCCGACCATCAGTCTCTGGTCGATTCGTGAAATGGGCAGTCAAGTTGAGTGAGTATTCTTTATTATATGAACCAAGGAGGGCCATAAAGGCGCAGGTGCTGGCCGATTTTATCCATGAAGGCACGAAGGTTGAGGAGGAGTCAGGAGGAATATGGCAGTTGTTTGTGGACGGATCAGTGGCACGAAGCGGTGCAGGGTTGGGAATTGTCCTTGTCTCTCCTAAGGGCGATTACTTGGAATTTGCGTCTAAAGTGGGGTTCAGGATATCTAACAGCGAGGCCGAGTATAAGGCAGTGATCAAAGGCTTGAGTTTAGCCAAAGCAGGAGGAGCCCGAAAGTTACAAGTGCATTCTGATTCTCAGCTGGTCGTCGGGCAGTTTCAGGAGGGGTTCGAAGTTAAGGAGGACCGGATGCAAAAGTATGTGGATGAAATGAGGAAGTTGAAAGAGGAGTTTGATTCATTTGAGCTGATACAAATCCCTCGAGAGAAAATGGTCGAGCGGACCTGTTATCGAAAATTGCTCAAAGCTTGGTGGATTGTAAGAGCAGAAGTGTCACCTTATTGCATCTCGAAAAGAGTGCGATCGAAGCAGAAGTAGCGGATATTGAGGAGGTGGAGGATTGGAGGGCCCCGATCCTGGAGGAGCTGAAAGGGGGAATGATAAAGGCGATGAGGAGATTTTTGAACATGGAGGCATTCTTTATAAACGGTCGTATGTGGGACCGCATTTGCGTTGTGTTACTAAGGAAGAAGGTCGATATGTGCTGTGAGAGATGCACGAAGGATGCTGCAGTGATCACAGTATGTCAGGGGCCTTGGTCGCAAAGATTTTGAGGGCAGGATTATAACGCCCAGTTCGTTTATAAATAAGTTGGTTTATTATTATTATTATTATCATTATTGTTATCGTTATCATTATTGTTGCCTTTATTATTAATTGTTATTTGTCTAATTGCCTAAATGAATTTATGTGCCTTATGTGTATTTATAATATATATAATTTGTGGAGATTTATTATAAATATTAAATACTATTTTGATTATTAATTATATTATTTTATTTAATTTTAATTTTAATTTATCTCGTCGAACCGAGCGTCCGGTCGAACCCCGCGAACCGCGCCCGTGGGCCGCGCTTAGCCAGCCCTAGCCGCCCCCTTTCTCCTTTCTCTCCTTGTGTTTTTAGTAAGTGGAGTGATCATGGAGTCTTTCCTTTTTCTTTGGAGTTGACTATGCCAAGTACATCAATTTGGGATTCTATCATATCTTGAGGACTCTATTTATGGGAGAGATTAATCCCTCTCTTATCTATTTTTCACGCAGCCCTCTTCCTTCTCTCATCTCTCTCTCTCACTCTCTCGTTCTTTTATTTTTTTTCTCCTCCGATCGCCGCCGTCGCCCAGGCCACCGGTCCTCACGCGTCGATCACTCGCAAGCCCCGCTGCCGTCGCGAGCCTTAACCGTGATCTGTTCGTGCGCCAAGCCCTTCGCCGTTCACGCCTGATACGGAAGTGGAGTTAGAGACCGACGAGTTTAGTAAGGGGCTCAAATGCGAAAGGTGCACATCGGCCCTTG